GTAACAGCCCCAACCCTCTCAGCCTGTGTCCACAGCAGAGGTGCTCCAGCCCTCAGATCATCTTCATGGCCTCCTCTGGACCTGCTCCAACAGCTCCATGTCCTTCTGATGTTGGTGACCCCAGAGCTGAAGCGGGGGTTTCAAGAGAGCAGAGGGGGACAACGACCTCCCTCGACCTGCTGCCCACCCTTCTTTTGATGCCTTTCCTTAAGGTGACGGGACGAGGTTATTACAAGAGGTACCTCAAGGCCATCCTCTCCAAACGCCCTGGGAAGGGGAGGTAAGGATGGCACCTTCCCCTCGCTCCACCAGCCCTGCCTGGCTGCCTGCAGCGGGGGCACAGGGGGGTCCCTGCTCCCCACAGCCACGCTTGGCACCATCTCCTTCCTTCTCCAGCTCCACGAAGATAGAAGAGAACCTCCTAGGAAGGATCAGGACGTATTTACGCTCCTACATCTACGCTCCAGAGGAAGGTGGGCTGCAGGAAGGTGGCGGGGGCTGTGGGCTCGGCTGCGGCAGCAGCTCGGCAAACAGGCTGCGATTCCCCCCTCCCCAGGGGGACGGAGCAAATGCCTTTCTTGGCTCCATCCCCGAAGCATCTGTGCCACGGCAGCTGCCGCCCGCGACACCTCGACTTCGCGCAAACTGTTGCGGTTTGGGGTGGGGAGCTGGATGTGTCGTGTCCCCCCACCCCAGCTATGGAGGTTTGGGGGGGTTCAGGCGTTGGTTGGGCTGATATCACAGCCTGATGCTTGAGGAGGCACCGATGAGGGGATAAAATGGACAATAAGGGGATAAAATCCCCAACAGGCCCAGAATGGGGGACAACCCATCGCCCTCTCTGCCCCGTGCGAGGCAAGGGGCTGTGCTGGGAGGTGGCATCCCGAGGGACACGGCTGCTGGGATGCCGGTGCATGAGGTTTTGAGGGTTTTCGAGGAAAAGAGGAGTAATAGGAAGGAAATCATCCAGCTGAAGGATGGAGAAACCTCTTCCAGTTATACATCCTGCCTGGATCTCCCTGGGGAAATCCCGATTAACGCTTGGCTGCCCGGTTCCAGCCCTCTCTCCTGAGTATTTTTCTCTTCACTGCTGGGTTGGGTGGACCTGCAGCTCTTCCCTCCTCCATCCCACATCCCCACTCCTCTGCCATACAGGTTTCCGGATCCCGCTGAAGCTCATCCTGTCCCTAACCACGGCCGTCATCGCCGTCTACCAGGTGATGCTGACGGCCAAACGCCGAGCAGACCCACCTCCCTGCCTTCTTGGCTGTGTTCTCTCCAGGCACAGGAGCCTGGAGGTCTTTGCCATGCCACAATTTTGGCTAAAGGGGATGGTATTAGCGTGCCTCGAGGTATTACCGTCCCTCGGCTGAGCCGTGAGCTTCCAGGGCTCAGCCAGCCTTAAGTCCTTTAAGCCAAGGTGACGGCTCAGTGGTGGGACGCTGTGACCTGGGGCTCACGTGGCACCTCTTCCTCACAGGTGGCCCTGCTGCTCCTGGTAGCTGTTGTCCCCACCATCCAGATCGTACGGGCAGGAATGACGAAGGACATCGTGGTGCTGTTAGTCCAGTTTGGCTTGGTGCCCTCGGAGAACCCGGCTGTCCCGGGTGACATGGAGAAGGAGCTCAACACAGTCAAGTACTACCTGTGGTCGCTGGAAGGTGGGTTCCCAGCCAGGTCCTGCATCCATAGATGAGGTTTTTTGGAGGATTTCAGAACTTATCGGAGAGGTTTCTAACCCAGAGGATGGTCCAAGATGCTGGTTGGTGATGGGGCAGCTTCTGGAGGGTGGGGGACTTAAACAGTCACCTGCCATTGAGCAGATGGGCCCCCACCCCGCATAACCAAATGTCCTGGATGGTTGGGAGGGGTGTGAGGATGGCAGGAGTGCCCCCCTCCCTTCACGGCACTGCCTGGGGGTGCCACCAGCTGAGGGGGGGCCCTTTTAATGGCTTTTCCAGAGTCACCAAGCCCTTTTCATCTTTTGTTTCCCTCCTGCCAGACCTCTTGCTTCCCCCCCTTTTCTGACATCATCTTCCCCAGCTCTCCCCATTGCACTGCCAGCTTGCTCGATGATTTTTCCAGTGCTGAGCTACCTCAACTCCTCATATTTTGCCTGGTTGTCTGTTTATTCCCTTCCCTTTCCCTGTCTCACCACCTCCTGCCTACCTGAGAGATGGAGATCCCTGTACTATGAAGTGGGTAGGGAGGGAAACTGAGGCACGGTGCCTCATTGAGTGGTACTTCCATGCAGCCTGCCCCCATAACGCTCCTCAGATATGTTTTTACAACAAAATCCCGTTGCTGGGGCTGGCTGCAGCCCTGACCTGGCCATCTCCCCGCCCCCATCCTGCTCCTCTGCAGTCTGCTACGTCTGCTCGCTGGTGCTGTGCTGCCTGCTGACCTGCGCCATGCTGCTGAGGACGCTGGTGATGCACAGGTACGGGATGGTACCAGCTCCTCTGGCCTTCACCTTGACACCCAACTGGGATGTAGCTGTGGTTTTTTTTCCCCTCAGGAACAACCTGAAGGCTCTCTACCAAGGGGCTGTGCTGGATGTTTTCTACAAAGCCCATATCCTCCGCCCATCCCGACAAGCCATCGTTTGCTGGATGGGTTTTGCCAGCTTCCAGACAGCTTTTGCCTGCCTGGGTAAGGGGTGTCAGGGGGCAAGAGGGGGTGGATGGGTGGTGGGCCTTCATCTTGCACAGCCTACCCTGAGCTGAAGCATCTCTTCCTCCTTTCTTGCCCTGTTTTGAGAAAGGGAGGCTTTTGTTCCTTGTTCCCCAAACACAATCTGTCCTTCTGCTGAACACTGAAGGGTAGGGAAGAAAAAAAAAAGGGGGACAGAGATGAGGAATGATGACTTGTGTTGGCTCGAGCCCAAATATTTTGATTTGAGAACCTGCCACAGCATCTCATGCAAAGGACCTTCCGTCTCCTCCGGTCTCGGCCTTCACATCCCAGGTGCTCCTTGCTGAGTGTCTTCTCCAGCACAGCCTGGGTCTTGCTGGCTCCTTCTGGGAGGGGTGGAGGATTGATGTCCTCCACCCCACCACAGTCTGGAGACATCTTAAGGCCTCTCTGCCCCATGGGAGATGACTTCAGGAAACATCCATGGTGATGCATGGGCAACACCCAACTGTATTGGCATCCTGAGGCTGCGTGGGAGAGTCGAGCTGAGGGTCAAGGGTGGTGATGGAAGGACAAGGAGGGACCACCAGGTCTGCTGGTGATCACCTCTCCAGAGAGAGGACCTATTTTGCAGGCAGATCACAGAGATCAGGGTGGAGGGAGGAGCTTGGGAGCACCCCAGGAGGTCCTTGCAGGTCTTTGTTGGCCGGGAGCAGCTTTTCTTTTGCCACCCAGAGCTCGGTGCATCCTGCCAGAGCCACGAATCTACCTCCTGCTTAAAAAAAAAAAATAAAATCTCCGGTTTTCAAGTCATTAAAGCAAAGCAACGGAGGTGAAGCTTGTGCTCCAGCAGGAGGAAGCATGGCTGTTGCTGATCTCGGCGTGATTTACGATTAAAAACCAGAGCTCAGGCTGATTTTTTTTTTTTTTTTTTATGACGAGGCGTCGTAGTTGTGGCCCCGAGCACCGGCTCTTCTCGGCGGGGATAAGGCGGGTGCGATAAGAAAGGCTGAGCTCGTAACGAAACCCCGCGTGGAGCATTGTGCTCGGAGCGGGGGAGTTTTTTTTTTTTTTTTTTATGACGAGGCGTCGTAGTTGTGGCCCCGAGCACCGGCTCTTCTCGGCGGGGATAAGGCGGGTGCGATAAGAAAGGCTGAGCTCGTAACGAAACCCCGCGTGGAGCATTGTGCTCGGAGCGGGGGAGGCGGGTACGGATCTCTCGGGCTTTTTATGGGATTGACGCGAGAGCCGCGCTCAGCAATGAGTAGGGGTTTGGGGAATAAGAGGAAGAACGAGAAGAGTTTCTCCGTCCTCCTCCACCATGGCTCCTCTCCCTGTGTCTCCCTCCCAGGTCTCCTCATCCAACAAGTGATTTTCTTCATCTGCTCGGTGGCGTTTACCTTCCTCTTCGTCATCCCGCTCCAATCCGGCACGAACACCTACCTCTTCAAAATCATTCAGAACATGTGGTGAGCACCTGCGGCCCTCTGGGAGGGGTGGAAGACCCAAGTGTGTGTCATGTCCATGGCCACGATGTGTTTTGGGGGTACTCTGCCAAGGGGAGCCTCTATCTCAGGATCCTTTGACTTTGCTGGAGGCTTCTGCTGCCTGGGATGGATGGTCTCTCCTGCTTGGGATCCCTCCTGGTGCCCAACCTGCCTCTTCCCTTCCACTCAGGCCCTTCTGGTTGACCCTGGTTGTTGCTGTCATTGTGCAAAATTTGGTGGCTCGCTACCAATTCCTGGAGCAGCATCCCCTCCGGAAGGAGCTCACCAACAGGTATGGGGACTTGGGGGATCTTTGGAGCAGAGCTGTCCTTCCCGTGGTCCAGGACCCTGGGACTGTGTTGGGTTTAGATGTGCTCCTGATATCGTGGTGTTCTCTGTGCCATGAGCTCAAGGGGATTTTGGTGGCTTCATGTTCCCCGAGAGATTTCTCTAGATGATTTAGAGGGCCATGGCCCATTTACAGCTTTGATTTTGGTGGGGAGAAGCTGGTGAGGTCTGTACCCTGCTCCACCACCCCCATTTGCAAGCCTCAGAGGAAGCTCAGGTCCCTCAGGACTGGCTGGACTGGTTCAGACGTGGCCGGCAGATGGGGTCCCTTGCTCATGCGTGGTATCACTGCCTAAGCTGTCTCCTTGTGCTGAAGACCAGGGTGACAGATGGATCTAGGTGTCCTGCTCTGTCCAGCCAAGGCACTTCCCTCACCTCCATCCCTTGCCCAGCATTGCAGGAAGGCTGCTTTAGGCTCTTCTGGCCTCCACAGGAACTGGTGTCCTCCATCCCAAACCACCCTACTCATGATTTGTCTGGTTTCTAAGTCCTCAAAGAGAAACCAAGACCTTATGCCTGCTGGAGGCCAAGCTTTGAAGTCCTGATGGTGCATGACACTGTGTCATCTCCAAGAGCATTGCAGGGTGTTTGCTTCTCTCCATGGGATGGAGACACCTCCAACAGGGACTGTGTCTGCCGAGGAGCGAGGGAAGTGTGGGAGGCTTATTTTGGCAGGAGGTTCTGGCAGGGAAGGGCTATGCTTCCCATTTCATGGTCTTTGTGTTCCTTACTCCTCCTTCTCCACCTGCAGGCGAGCTCTCTACATAGTCACCTACCTGCTCTTCCCCATCAATGTCCTGGTGGGTGTCCTGGCTGGTGTGTGGAGGATGGTCATTTCTGGCCTTTATAACGCTGTCCACTTCTGCCAGCTGGACATCAGCCTGCTAAACCGTGGTGTGGAGACCTTCGACCCAGGTAGGGCCCTGGGGAGGTCCCTCTGCAGCACCTCCATGAGCATGGAGGCCCTTTTCCCACCACGAAGCTCGCAGTGGGGACAGGGCCAGGAGCTCCTCCACCACCTGGAGCTTCCAGGACAAAGGGTGGCTTCAGGTCCTCGTGCTCTGCATTCAGAAATGGGCAAATGGGACAAGGGCAGCAAGCAGCTTCTCCTGATGCCTGCTTGGTCCTGCTTTTCCACCCATCCCCAAGGACAGGTGATGCCCTACTGGGGTCCCCTGGGCTTCACAAGTGGCCACACCCCATTCCCGTGGGTGTGGGACCCTTATCTCTCCTGTGCTAAGGGTAGCAGGGAGGAGAGCTCAGCCCTTTCTCTGCTTTTCCCACTGGGATTTCAGGAGCAGAGTCCATCTCCAGGTCTGGAGGTAGAGCTGCTCTGGCAGAGCAGAGACCAAACAATCCTTCTCTTTGCTCCAGGGCAGGACAGTGGAGGGACACCATGAAGTGTGGTCCCCTCCACGCCCCCCCCCCGCACATGTTTCACTGTGGGTTGTGTTCCCCCAGGCTACCACGCTTTGAGGGTTGGCTGCTGCTCCAGAGATGCTGGTGGTGCCTTGGGGTAAAGGGACTGTTGAGGGTTGTGGCTCTGGTGCCTCCTCTGCTTTTACACTAGGAGCTGTTCCTCTGTGAGAGCAGGATGGGGCTCATCTGCTTTCACCCCAGGGGGTAGGTGGCACCTGGGCAGCCTCAGCGAGATGGAGATGGGGCTGAAATAATTTCCCCCCGCTGCTGCTCCAGAGATGCTGGTGGTGCCTTGGGGTAAAGGGACTGTTGAGGGTTGTGGCTCTGGTGCCTCCTCTGCTTTTACACTAGGAGCTGTTCCTCTGTGAGAGCAGGATGGGGCTCATCTGCTTTCACCCCAGGGGGTAGGTGGCACCTGGGCAGCCTCAGCGAGATGGAGATGGGGCTGAAATAATTTCCCCCCCACCCTACCTCCCATCTCCTTCCAGGCATCCAGCTGATGCAGCCCAAGAAGGTCCCGCCGAGCAGAGCCAGGTTCAAGCAGAGCCGAGCCCGCTGGTGGCTGGCCTACACCCTCCTCAACAACCCCTCACTGATGGCTTGCCGGAAAACCGCCCTCTCTGACCCCACCACCAATGGCACCCAGCTCAGCCCCCTCAAGCCCTGACCTCCAGAGAAGCCCCCCTCCCACCTCTCTGCCTCTGGCTCCCATCTCATCCCATCCCATCCCTGTCTCCCGTTGACTCTCCTCCTGCACTGGTGCACCTCTCACCCCTCTCCAGCCTCTGGTCCCTCTCCAGTGGTGATGTGGGGTCTAGATCCATGTTGAGCCACTACCAAGGTCCAGAGGTGAAGGCAAACGGGTCACCTCCAAGCCTGACCTGAACAGAGAGGGCTTGATGACTCAAGCTAAAGCCTTCAGGCATCTTAAAAACGTCTTTGGAGTCACTCCTGCAACGAGCTCACCCGTTCTCAACAGCCGCCTTTCCGACACGCGGGAAGGCAGGCGCGAGCCCTCAGCACCGGGACAGTGAGGAAAGAGGGAGAAGATGCACGTTGGCTTGCGCGGAGCGATCCTCAACCAGACTGAGCGTGGAGAACTACCCACACCTCAGCGTGGTGTCCCTGCAGAGAAGGTCCCCACCGCCAACCCTATCCCCAGCTTTCCTCCCTTTTGGGTCCGATCCTGGCTCTTCTCAGGTGCCATACCTAACCCCAGGACTCTTTTTTTTGTTTGGTTGGTTGTTTTTTTCCGCAATTTTGTGAAGGCTGAAACTCTCTAGGCCGTGAGGTTGCAGAGCCATTTGTTTTCTGCTCCCCATAACTCTTGTTTCCCCCCCCATGTCTCTTGCTGCCACCTCCCCAGGGGTGGTGACCCTCCGAGCAAGCTCAGCTTGAACCCGTAGAGAGCAGTTTTACACCTCGCTGGGACGTGCCAAGTTGGGGAAGGTTAATAAATCATATACCTCGTTCCTACGCCCGGGGTGCGCTTGGTCTCTTGGCTGCTCCCAAATAAGCCAGACCTGGCAGGAGGGACACGAGGACAGACGTAGACGTGTATATCTGGGTGATGGTTGGGGCTGACCTTGCTCCGACCACGTGGAGTGGAGCTTTTGCGGTAGACCTGGACGTGATGGGACCAAATCTGTGATGTCCCCTCCCTGCCTTAGGGAAATTTTAAGGCGAAGCTGATCCGTTTGTTTTCCCATCAAAACGTTCAGCTCCCTAAACCACGACTCCCAGGAAGGATGGGAACTGAAACGAGACATTTTGAGGCTAAAGCACCAAAGGTGGGTGTCCAGGCTCTTACTGGATCGCCTTCGATGTGTCCCTTGAAACCAAAGGACCACCTTGGCGCCGGCCTTCGGTGGTCCAAAGGATGCTTTGGTTGCAGGTAACTCTTGACAAGCTGTACCCATGGCTCCTGGCTCTTCTTGACAGCATCTCAAACCCCTCAGCCTTGCTTTAGCAGGCACCTCCCAGACTTTGCAGCCCACCCTGCACGGAGTGGGGCTGCGGTGCCATCCCCTGTGCTCGAGGAGTGTCAATGGGCTTGAGCCCCTTGCCCCAAGGATCTCCTTGGAGGTGAGCAGACCTGCTCTTTGTTGGCTTTCAAGGACCAACACCCCCTTTCTGGGGTGCTTATGTCATGTGGGGGATGGCTGTTGGCACCATTGGTGAGGGTTGGGGGTGAGCTCTACTCTTTGGGCTCCATTCCTTCTCCCCAGGAGCCCCACCTGCTCCCAGTCTATCCATCACAGTGAGGAGAAGGGGGTGTGGGGGTCCCTGCTTTCATCTGCTGCCGGCGGGTGCTGCCCAAGCAGCCCCCCACCGTGCTTGGATGCTCCAAGCCCTGTCGCATCCGCTGCCCTGACCACTTTAATCATATTTGGTTAGTGTCTGGTGCACAGGACAATGTCACCAAACTGCGTGACAGCCGTGACACCGGAGGCAGATCTGGGTCATTTTTTTTGTTGT